AAATTAAATATTATGTAAAAATGGTTAGGTTTTGTATTTTTGTTAACGTTTTAAAACTAATGAAAAATGAAAACCTTAAAGTGCAACATTGCAATCGATTAGGTACCAATTTTTATTGCATTGCGCTTAATTTGAATTCTAATAATTATTTTTAATCACTTGATAAGCGTACTTCCCACGGGTAGATTACTTATTTTACAAACATTTTGAAAGATGTCAATTAAAAAGATATAATGTCAATGTTCGTTCACCTAAAAAAATGGATTATAATGGTGAAAGAGTTTTTGAAAACGGTCCAGTAGTTTTATAGTTTATTTGTTACAAACATACAAAACAAAAATACTTGTACAAATCTCTCCTCTTTGAGTATAAGATCGCTTGTACTGCATAGTTATACTATGCAGTGCAAAATATGCTAGAGTTCTCTTTGCTATAGGATCAAAATAGGTACCAGACGCGTAGTCTATGGAATAAATCGTCATCATTTAGTTTCCACTCCAGGAGCTCCGTCTTTTCATTGACCAGAGACAAAAGGGAGAATTTGGCTTACAGATCCAACGGGACGAGTAAGGGTACTCTTAAGTATTTTACTCTGGCAAAACCACAGGGATAATTGAATTTCATTTATTTGGAACGTTTCATTGATGATCATTAAAACAAACCACAGCCATGGCAACGATAGCCGAACGGTGAAGGGGTCGGACTGGCCGACTCGAGATCCGAGGAACGCGGGTTCAAATCCTCGAGTATTGTCGCTAATCCACGCTAAATTTTGTCAGTGTGTGCGTGCGCGCCGCATACGTATTGGCGCGCGCTCACATACAAACCGCGCTCGGTGCGTTTCTATGAAGATGACCTACTCATTTGTGACCCTCGTAACACAAGCATATTTAGCTTACCACGAGGGGCTAACGGGACTGTTAGTAATTTGTGCAATGCAAATTACTAATAATCTTAAAAAAAAACAAACACAAATATAATTATTTCTTATGTAATAATGATCGCCGCACATCGTGCATATTGCTCATGTTTACGGTTTGCTGTCTAGCCCTGGTTGACCTCGTGCGAGGGCCCCTGGTCGCGTCCTCATCCTCTGTCGTCTTAATCGTGGTCGTGGTCCTCTGCCTGAACATGTTCTTGCCGTCCAAACCAATCAGCACCCAGTACAAATACTGAAAATCTTCATACACTTTTAAAACCTTCAGGTGCATCTTCATAGCCAACGTCAAATCAGTATACCAGATCCAGTTATTAACTTTATTTATCATCATCGTTAACAGGTCCATCATTTTACGCCAAAGCCTTCTTAGCTTTCGGTATAAAAACGCGACGCGGTATCCAGTATCTTTGTTGTTGAAATGCTTCTCCTTTTCCATTAGCTTTATTTTGTGTCTTGTCATGTATATTACCTGCAAAGCGTTGTCCAAAGCTTTCGTTTTCAATATGTTGTTACTAGCTCTCTTAAACTGCCATCTCGTTATCATTGGTATATTCTGCCTTCTTGTCTCATTTGTTCCCAAAATTTCTGCTTCAAGTGCACTCATACTTTTCGTTAGTTTGTCCATATCTATTCTTTCTAAATCAATGTCGACGTTTTTTATTTCCTCGATTTCAGATTTGGATATCTGTGGGAACAAGTCCTCGATTTGTGGTAGTTCATCTTCATTTTTTACTGTGTAAAACTTTAAAGTAGTTACTGTAATCAATGTTTTTGTGTGAGAATATTATTATGCACAATTTTACTACATAATAGCACTTACACATTATTTACTTACCTAATAAAAATGTTTCAAATTTCATGATTATGTAATATTAAGTAGGTAATAATTATCCACCTCAACTTTATCAAGAGTGTGTGTTTGCATAATAAAATACTTTTTAGCAGCTGCCTGTTAAATTCACAATTAAAAGGTTTGATAATTAAAATTAGCGCTATTATGACCAAATTGCAATTAAGCCTTTTCATGACAATGCTTTGAAATTCAATATCGTTTGCAAAAAGATGTTTTTAGTAATTTGGTTGTCGTGTAAGTTGTCTTTTAGGATTTATGTAAAATTTACATGAATTTGGGTACAGATAAGTTTTTAACTATTTTTGTAAATCTAGGTACCTTGACGTGCATATCAGCGATATACGACGGTCAAGTATCCACCTACGAATTACTTTATGGCGATCTGACAAATTTGGAAAACGATTTCGTGCTGCCTGTAAATTTTTCTGGAAATACGGACAAAGAAGAGCCAAAACCGAAGAGCAAAAGATCACTTGTAAATGAACTGCTTAAACAATTAGATCAAGTCGATCAGATACATGCATCTGAGCATCGCTATGACATTGAAGATTTCAACAAGATAAATAGAGAGCTGAAAAATCTGACTAGAAGACAGTATGAAAGATTGCGGTACCCTTTCGATGAGGACGATTATTACGACAGAGCAGTGAATGAGCGAACGAAGAAAATGATGCTGTTGGGTTTAAATCTCCAATTTTTGATACATGCGAGACGTAAGATCGCGATAGCGATTAGGTTGAGGAACTTCGTGCGAAAGGACAAGAGATACAGGCTGGGATATATGTTCAGCAGGCTACGGCGGTTGGTATACAATCAGCGAAAGATGGTGTTCACCGCGGAGTGGAACAGGAATCAGCGTTACTACACCAACTTGTTGACACAAATTCGGCTCTACGAGAGGGTGGTGCGACTTGACATTGACATACGCGACACGTGCAACTTGATCAAGAGTGTGTATGCAGAAAGGGCGGGCATCGACATGGTCTATTAAAGACGAACGAAATTTTGAGTTATGCAGTTGGTTTTTTATGAAGGTGTTTTGGATCTTATTCTATTTTAAACCAAATGCCTCTAATGAATGATAACACTACATTATTGTTTGTCTTGCTCTTAAATAAACTGAAAAATATAATTATTGTTAAAAGTGACTTTATAATAATCTGAATTACACCTTGTAAACAGTCTATGCATGCACTTATAATTATGAAAAAATAAAACATCTTTTCGTATCGTGTGGGTAGTGAGATTTGATGAACTGCAAAAAGCGTCTGTAGTAAAAATAGGAGTATGTAACGTGTACGTAGTACATGTAATTTGAAACGTTTTAAATAATGGAGAATTTAGAGAACCAGAAGTTAGGAAAATCTGTTTAGGTGAGGATTCTTGGATGGCTCAAACTGGTAGTGCAGTGTGGTTTTGTTCCCCAGTCGACGAAGCACATGATGTCGTGCCCTGCGTGCCCAACGTCACTCTTGTGGTGGAGTTTTGGGCTGACACTGTAAGGTTTGTCGACACGACAAGAAGAAGAAGATTAAGCGCTTTTTAAGGACCCAAAATAAGGTAGGGTATTAAATTCTTCATTTATTTCTTTAATCAATAAACTTCCACTTCTCCTTCCTGCCCTTGGAGAACTTCTCGACAGTTTCTTTTGCGTTTTTGTCGTTTTCTTGCACCAAGTCGATGAGCAAGTCTATTTCAAACCACTTGTTCAGGAGCCGCTCTTCGCCGGTCATGAAGGATAGCACCTCGTGTCGCGTGGTGTGACCCTGCTGCCTCGTCACGCAGGCGTGGAGCAGTCTGGAAGACATATAGGGTGTCTCGTAAAGAGTGTGCCAAACTTAAGGAGATAAAATAGACCAATGGATGGTTTTTTAGAATCTCAATTTTGAACCTTTCGTACAGTGAGCAGATATTTATCTTATTCTTCTTATTATTATTTATATACAAAGCAACAAGAAACTTGTTACGTACGCCTAATCTATGAAGATCGCTGCATCGACGCTGACCCAGTTTACCCAAATCAACATTGCAACTGCACTATGGACCGCGAGGAGCAGCATCAGCAAAATGCGCCTCTCATGACGACAGCGGCGACGTTTCATTAATTTTATTAATTATTTTATAATCATATTCGTTTCATACTTCGAGACGGTATCACTAGGCTAGGCTAATTTTAGTTTAATTGTAATTTCTTTCTTTTAAATTAAATTTAATTAAATAAAGTTTGCTTTTTTTTGGAACCTCCGGTTGCAGCTAACGAAATTAACTGGCTCAAAATTGGGATTATAAATAAACATTTAAAAAAAATATCCATGAAATGTAGATACTCTTTACGGGACATCTGTATAATGTGCATCTAATGCGGTTGTGATAACGTGCTATTTTACAGCAAAAAAATAATCTGATGTGCTGTCGACAAGCCATTAGACAATTTTGCTTCCAGATTATACCTATGCAAGGACATCATTAATTTGTGTGAGAAGTATTTTAGTTAATTGATGTCGTGTACTCTATTAACTAAGGTCATTTCATATACTATTGGAACTGCATTGAAGAGAAGTTGAACCTTAACTTCGGACTCCTAAGTTTTTTTAACTAATTTCGTTGCGGGTCCAATGACAATTTAACTTTCCCCCGGAACAAACTTGACCTTCACTGGATGGGTTTTTATTGGCGGTCGAGCTGTAGATCTTGGCTACACAGGAGTTTCAGCGGTGGGAACGAGAGGTGGGAATAGTCCCGTTGACAGCACATCAGATTATAAATTGTTCTAAAATAGCTTCTGTTATCACGAAATAAAGGTGTTTACTTTTTGAAGAAGCTCATGTCCAGCAACTAAGGCTGAGTTGCACCATCGTATTTTAACCGTAACATTAACAATAACCGGAGCTTTTTGTATGGAGTTATTAAAGTTGACGTTTGTTAAAGTAAGATGGTGCAACCCAGCCTTAGACTTCCATAGGCTAAGATGTAAAAATACCTGTAATTGAACGATGCGAAGAACTTGCACGTGGTATCCATGATCAGCAATCCCATTTTAAACAGCGAGGAGTTCCTGTANTTGTAGTGCAGTGTGGTTTTGTTCCCCAGTCGACGAAGCACATGATGTCGTGCCCTGCGTGCCCAAACACTGCACGCAGGAAGATAATTATTGCTATTGACAACACCACTCTTGTGGTGGAGTTTTGGGCTGACACTGTAAGGTTTGTCGACACGACAAGAAGAAGAAGATTAAGCGCTTTTTAAGGACCCAAAATAAGGTAGGGTATTAAATTCTTCATTTATTTCTTTAATCAATAAACTTCCACTTCTCCTTCCTGCCCTTGGAGAACTTCTCGACAGTTTCTTTTGCGTTTTTGTCGTTTTCTTGCACCAAGTCGATGAGCAGGTCTATTTCGAACCACTTGTTCAGGAGCCGCTCTTCGCCGGTCATGAAGGATAGCACCTCGTGTCGCGTGGTGTGACCCTGCTGCCTCGTCACGCAGGCGTGGAGCAGTCTGGAAGACATATAGGGTGTCCCGTAAAGAGTGCCACACTTAAGGAGATGATAGACTAATGGATGGCCATCTAAACAAAAAAAAAATGTTATGGAAAAGATCCATCTTTTCTGTTATGATTTTTATTCATGTTTTTTAATCCTCAGTTTTAAACCTTTCTAGTCTATAACATCTCCTTAAGTTTGGAATGCTCTTTATGGGGCACCCGTATAATGTGCAATGTGCATCTTATGCGATTGTGATAGGTGCTATTTTCAAGGAAAATTGCAAAATCTGATGTGCTGTCGACAAACCATCAGACAATTTTGCTTCCAAATTCCACCCGTTATTTTCAGACATTATTACTGACAGACTTTTGACGTATGTTAAAGTTAAAATAAGATGGTGCAACCCAGCCTTAGACTTCCATAGGCTAAGATGTAAAAATACCTGTAATTGAACGCTGCGAAGGACTTGCACGTGGTATCCATCTTGCTGATCAGCAATCCCATTTTAATCAGCGAGGAGTTCCTGTACTTCTCTCTGAGGATCTGCATGATGACCAGCTTGTTCCGGGTTCGGTAGACCGTGTGCCGCATGAGTTCGAGCAGCCTGTGACGTAAGCTGAAGGTGTCTTTTTTGCTTACTGCCATAGGCTAAGATGTAAAAATACCTGTAATTGAACGCTGCGAAGGACTTGCATGCGGTATCCATCTTGCTGATCAGCAGTCCCATTTTAAATAGTGAGGAGTTCCTGTACTTCTCTCTGAGGACCTGCATGATGACCAGCTTGTTCCGGGTTCGGTAGACCGTGTGCCGCATGAGTTCGAACAGCCGGTGCCGTAAGCTGAAGGTGTCCTTGCTCATGGCTTCTGTGTTGAGGGTGCCTGATGGTCGCCACTTTCTTCGGCCGCTGCTTAGAGAGTCGAGGTTGAGGCGGAGCAGTTCGTCAGTGGGGTCTATACCTGATACATGCCAAATAAATGTGATTTAAGAATTAAACATTCGTGTTCCATATTATATTTGGCAACATTCCCGATATGTGTTCTTTTATATTATTTTATATGATGACTAATTTGAAAGAAAAATACCTATCAAAGTTTTCCTCAACTGTCACCTTTTTAAGAATACACCGCTGTAGGTTTACATAAATACGATAGTGGAAATATCAATTACTGTAAGGGACAAAACACGACTTTTCAGGAGAGCCAAAAAACGATTTTTTTTTTCTTTATACCTCAATATCTTTTTATGTGATGTTACGATTTAAATAGTTTCTATGGCAAAGTTTCTTAGAATTTTCTGTTCTTTCATAATATAAACGCCAAATTTTCGAAAAATGGGTAGTTTAAAAGATAGCATGTCCCTTACATTAAAAAAACGAGCTTGACTGTACCTTACAATGTTGAAATTTCACAGTATGGAATGTCATGTATGTTGTAAGGTACATTTAAGAATAAACACGACAGTAATATTATTGTAACTTGACAATTTTAACATTGAAACCTGATGTAAGTAGAGGTTGCATTCGAGTATTCATTAACAAAACGAAGAGAAGAGATAGAAACAAGACAACTTAGTGTTCACAAATGCAGTTGGAGGCATCAAATACACATCACCAACAAAACATTTAGTCACTGATGATGCCTACGTCTGCATTTGTGAACAAGTTGTCTTGTTTCTATCTTTTTCTGTTCATTTTTACGCAGTTAGGTTTTTTTTTTCAATCATCGTTCGTTCGTTTTAGCCGAATGACGTCCACTGCTGGACAAAGGTCTTCCCCCAAGGATTTCCACAACAACCGGTCCTGCGCCGCCCGCATCCAGGCACCTCCTACAACCTTCACCAGATCGTCGGTCGACCTAGTGGGGGTCTGCAGCACATTACGTCTTCCAGCTCGTGGTCGCCACTCAAGAATTTTTCTGCCCCAGCGGCCATCAGCTTTGCAAGCTACGAGCTCCATCCACTGCCACTTGATTTTAGCGATTCTGCGGACTATGTCAGTCACTTTGGTTCTCCTGCGGATCACGTCATTTCTGGTTCAATCACTACGAGCATAGCACGCTCCATCGCCTTTGACCTTGAGTCTTCTTATGAGGCCCACAGTAAGCGACCACGTCTCAGATCCATAAGTTATCAAAGACTTTTGTCTTGAGACAGTGCGATATTTCAGACGTGAGAATATCACGAAGCTTCCTGAACGTTGCCAGCCGAGTTGGATTCGACGATTGACCTCTTCCTCGAAGTTAGACCTACCTAAGCAGCCTTAGGTAGGTCTAACTTCGAGAAAGAGGTCAGAAGAAACCAGCGTTTTAGTGTCACGCAGACCGTCAGTGCGGATCGCTCCGCACAGCCAATCTGTATGAACTGATAGAGAGCGAGCGATTCCAGCGGACCGCATTACTCTAAAACGATTCCTCGAAGTTTACAGATCGGCTGTGTGAAGCGGATCCGCACTAGACGGTCCGCGTGACACTATAACCAGCCTAACTGGACTGTTTGTACTAGGTATATTATAAGTGTCAACAACTGCCGAGTGTAGAGTATCCAACCTTTATAGGAGTGGGTGCAACACGGACATTTGACATGATTTTGTCTGGTCCATGTTTCATTTTAAGACCCCCTTGTTGAGAGGCTCGACTCAGGCAATTGTGCATTGTGCCTAGATCTTCCACGGTCTCAGCCATGGCTATGATATCGTTTGCGAATCGAAGGTGGGTTATTTACTCACCGTTGATATTTATGCCGAATCCGTTCCAGTCCAGAAACAGTTTTGGAGTTTTCAGTTCCCCCTGTCTGCTGCTGCAACTGGTTTCGAGTCTTGATCCTGGAGACGGAACGACATTGTGGCGTTTTCGTACAAGCCTTTCAACATGTCGATGTATCGATATAGGTAGTCAATTTGACACCGTTGGAGAAACTGTAGTAGGTACTGCCCAGGTCTCGATCGAAGCTTTCTCATAGTCCACAAACGCCAGGCAAAGTGACTGACTATACTCCTCGGTCTTCTGTATAATCTGCCGTGGCGTATGTATGTGGTGTACTAAAGCGATTGAGAGATTGAGAGGCTGGAAGTCATCGAGCTTACGAGCGAGACGATTCGTAATGACTCTCGAAAACAGCTTGTAGACATGGCTCGGAAGTGAGATGGGTCTATAATTCTTCAACAAGGTTTTGTCGCCTTTTTTGAAGAAGAGTGTCACCACACTTCTGTGCCATACCGTAGGCGTTTTTCCTTCGAGGATGACGGAATTGAACAGCTTCTGAAGAGCCTTCAGCCCCTCGGTCAAAAACCCAACTGCGTAAAAATGAACAGAAAAAAGATAGAAACAAGACAACTTAGTGTTCATAAGTGTAGTAGGAGTGGGAGGCATTAAATGCATATCACCACCAAAAAAAGTAATTGATATCCTATATGCACAGTGGCGGGGCAACAACTAAATTTGATGTGGGCAAGACAGATTTCGCGAGGCCCTGTTCTATGGCGACCTGAAGACGGATTTTATAAAATAATAAAAACAAACAAAACAATTAACACTGCCAAGTTTAGAAAAATGTATGTATGTGTGTGTGTGTGTGTGTGTGTGTGTGTGTGTGTGTGTGTGTGAAATGAAGCAATCGATTTAAAATTTTGACAGTAGGTTTGTCTCGTGGTGGAATCGTGGCCATTAGTTTGTGTAGATTATCGGCCATTCGCAAATTGTTTAAACAATTGAAAAAAGCATTGTTTTTGTTATAACTAAAAAACTATTGTCTGAAATGAAAAATGTATTGAAACTTTTTTGTGAAAAATTGGAATGTCTTGGTTGCAAATGCAAATATCTCGAAAACTGTAAGAGATACGGCAAAAATAATGAAATTTTGGGGGTTTCCTGAAGGAGTGATGAACAGTTCATACTTAGTAGTTCATACTTAGTAGTAAAGTTCATCATGAACTTTAGCAGTACTAACAATGAGTTCTATGATATTTGCAATATGTTTTATGATATTTGCAATATTGCAAAAAATCAATTATTTACTCAATAGTTTCGTAAAATGTTTTTGAGTTATATATCTTGAGGTTCATAATATATGTAAGTACGAAGGACTCCCTATAATATTAATCGTATCGATACGCGCAGGTATGTCGGAAACGGTAAGTGATACGGCAAAAATAATGGAATTTTGGGGACATTCCAGAGGAGAATGAATTCCGGCAGTACAAACGTTATGTATCAAAGAATTTGCGATATTCTGGAAAATCAACTGTAAACATCGTATAGTCCCGATTAATCGGGAAGTTTTTGCGATTTGCCATTAGGCAAGATGCCACCAAACCAGAATCACATCCATAACAAATAATAATATACTTTGCAGAGTCACACCCATCCAGAGTCACACCCATCCAGAGTCGCACCCATTACGGCTTATTTTTGTTTTATTCTCGCTTTAAACATTTTTGAGTCGCGAGGCCCCTTGTACCGCGAGGCCGTAGGCGGTGGCCCACATCGCCCACGCTTAACCCTTAACACCACTTGGTATTTTCAGCTTACACATCTACACTCGTGGGGGACCTAAGTCCCCATTATTTGTATTCAATATTTAAGTAATTTAGTATGAAATATCTTAGGATAATTTTTCATAAAATAAACAAGAAACATATATTTAAGTGAAAAAACAGGTTTAATCGTATTTTAAACATAAAAAAATATTATTTCTAGCTACAAACAAAAAAGTTACCAAAAAACTAGTTACATTTATAGTGTTTTCTTCACAACCCCAAATAATATTGGAAATTAGAATATCAAAACAAAAAAAAACTTTTTTCTAATAAACCAATATACCTATGAACAAAAACAAACATAAACTTTTCAATAAGTTTAAGAATTTGAAAAATCACAATAGGAATAGTTGGCCCATATTTTTTTAACTCATTCTAAAAATGTCTTAGCAGCCTCAATAATAATTAGTCTCAACATTATGATTATAATCTAAAATAAACTTATTGCTGACATTTAGTATATATTTTCACATCAATAGAGTGGATTATGACAGACATTTTTCATACATTTGGAGCAAACTCTGGGAGGGCACATGACATCTAGATTTCTTTCTTAACCCTTAACACCACTTGGTATTTTCAGCTTACACATCTACACTCGTGGGGGACCTAAGTCCCCATTATTTGTATTCAATATTTAAGTAATTTAGTATGAAATATCTTAGGATAATTTTTCATAAAATAAACAAGAAACATATATTTAAGTGAAAAAACAGGTTTAATCGTATTTTAAACATAAAAAAATATTATTTCTAGCTACAAACAAAAAAGTTACCAAAAAACTAGTTACATTTATAGTGTTTTCTTCACAACCCCAAATAATATTGGAAATTAGAATATCAAAACAAAAAAAAACTTTTTTCTAATAAACCAATATACCTATGAACAAAAACAAACATAAACTTTTCAATAAGTTTAAGAATTTGAAAAATCACAATAGGAATAGTTGGCCCATATTTTTTTAACTCATTCTAAAAATGTCTTAGCAGCCTCAATAATAATTAGTCTCAACATTATGATTATAATCTAAAATAAACTTATTGCTGACATTTAGTATATATTTTCACATCAATAGAGTGGATTATGACAGACATTTTTCATACATTTGGAGCAAACTCTGGGAGGGCACATGACATCTAGATTTCTTTCTTTTTTTTATTTTGACTAGGTCCTTGTGTTGGTAGCTCTTCAGGTAAGTCAACACATCTACTGGGGATTCAAATCTTTAGCTATATTGCAGCAAAACCTATGAAAAATACTTATTTATAAAAAATCTAATTTGGAAAAATACCTACATAACTACACTCGTGGGGGACTTAGGTCCCGCAACGGCATGTACCTCATAAACCACAAACGTGAACAACGCACACGTCCGTCCCCTGCTAGCTCTCGGGCATCACTGGGAATACACCGGACCGCAACCGCGTCGCATTTTAAATAATTATTTTATTTGCAAAAAAGTAGGCGGTGGGGGAGCTAGGTCCCCCACGAGTGGTGTTAAGGGTTAACGCCGCCTCTGTAATATGCATATTAACGTAAGGGCCTAATTATAATAAATCAAAAAGTTTTAAATGAAGTAAGGTTCAATGAGTTCAAAAGTTAAAACCAACAGTTTAGGGTAAGGGCTGAATTGTATTATAAAAAGGAATTTACGTCCTTTAAATCATTTGTTTCCCCAAAAGTCGTATTCAGACGACTAAAAATGTTTAAGGTAAGGGACATTTTTTTAAAGATATCAACATTTCAAGTATACCAATCGATAGAGCCGAAAATTCTGAATGCGTTGGTATATATAACTCATTTTGGCCAAAATGTCCCTTACATTAATTGATACTTCCACTATCAATATAGCATAAAAATATACACTGTTTGAAACTTTTTGGGGGCAGCAACCTAGCCATTAGAGTTTTATCTCGGGACTTAACATTTAATTTCCATGATAGTTGTTGCAATTCACGAAGGAGAGTGAGCTTTACATGTGTGGTGGCTCGCTACTGTTTGAATAGACATTACACTATCGTTATGTGCATGTACACGTACACACACAAGTAAAGCTCACTCGCCTTCGTGAGTTGAAAGAACTATAAATACTGCCTTCTCGGTAGATAAATAAAAAAAAATAAAGATAACATGAGAGAGTTTTTGGCTGCGAAAATAAAAACGTACCTTCATATATTTCATTAAAGTCTTCCTTAACCGACGTCTCCAGGCCTTCTGCTCTCTTCCTCTTCTCAATTCTATTGAAGACCACATTTGGGTGGAACTTCATGATATAATCCTTGAACCTTAACGGCCCTGACTGCTCGAAGCGGCGGGTCAGGGTCATGTTTCTGTACCCGTGTCTTGGGAGCTTGAACTTCGTGTGATCGATCTGGCCCATTATGGTGGAGAATGTAGTGATTGTGAAAAGTATGACGAATACGTCCAGAAAAGTTGCTGAAAGAAGGTTAGGCGAGTAAACTTGTGGATTCAACGTGAATTGTTAGGTAATTCCTTCGGAAAAAGTTTTATTAACTATGACTTCACGGTTTTTTTAAACAGAATTCAGACTCCGACACATAAGTTTAGTTGCATGCACCACCATGAACTTTGATGAATTAAAGTTAAGTAAATGAACGACAGATAAATCGATCTACCCACTTTCTAAATATCAATACTTTCGACTTTGGTACCACTGTTCACTCACTCACTTCTCGCTCGATTTTTTTCACATTATTCGACACACAATACTAAGGTTAGTAAGTAATTATTTATTTTCATCTGTGCCTACTTGAAAAATTGGTAATTTTTTTTTAGTAATATCAACAATTTAGGCGAGAATAATTGTTTCTCCAATACCGACTTAACTAAAATAGCGTTTTCTGAAATTTTTCTTTTTTTAAATGCTCTGCAATTTACCGCCTGGGGTATTCGCAACTCAGCCATATTTAAAACAATAATTTAATACTTACAAAATATCATTTTTCATGTCGATAAAATCGTGTAACAAGCAAATAAGTTTGCACAGTGTATTGTTCATAAGCGAAAGTAATTAACAAAATTAGTAATAAAGATTAGGAGGTTTTATTAGATTTTGAAAGTAAGATTCTTCATTTTGCACGAAACGATTATTAGTGTTACATAAATCTGGTGGAAATTTTAATTAACTGAACATCTGTATTTATTTACAGTTTGAATTTTCATTATAAGCAAGATTGGGAGTTGCCTTTGACGGGGAACAACAAATGTACAATCCGGTCAAGCTGCGCACCTGGCAGCTGTGACGTCACATCGAACGCGGGGTGTGCGGGTGAGTGTGAGTGAGAGTCGCATTCCATCAAGGTGCGCAGCTCGATTGGGTTGTAATCTCTATGCAGAGAGCATATTACGATGTTCGTCGACTTCAATGTATTGAGCAATAAAACAATATCAGAGATCTGTAGTTTTTCAGTCTTAGTAAATACTGGTAAACATCCCACGCTGCGTTATACGGTACGCGGCCTCCACTCCAGAACCTTGCTACCCCATCGGCCGTCAGTTTGGACGAGGTCACAAGGTGGACCGACAACATTGGACAAATGTAGCAGGAAGGCGCTGGACGCAAGCCACTACCAACCGGGCAACATGGATAGCATTAGGGGAGGCCTATGTTCAGCAGTGGACGTCCTATGGCTGAGATGATGATGATAAAATATTGGTAATTCTTATGTTACGTAAATTCAGTCTAAACTTACATTTTTCTAATGCAATCCATGGTCGCAAATGACACAATTTTTCTTTAGTCTTGCCAGTAATGTACAGAGCAAGACTTTTCAGGGTTTTATTACCTATCTATTCACATTTAGTCAACCGCACATAAGACTGCACAATTGCACATTTTTGTAGCAAAATGGTATCTGTTGCAACTACATAAGGTGGCGTAGTGTTAGCTTGAAGTGCTACTTCATGTTTTAGGCTGAGTTGCACCACCTAACTTTGACCGTAACTATAACGATAACCGGTGTTATTTGTATGGAGTTTGACAGATTTTTGATGTTTGTCAAAGTTAAAGTAAGATGGTGCAACTCAGCCTTAGTATTCTCTAGAAATCCACTCGCAATACGGCCTTGGGGCTACCATAAATATAAGGCAAGTGCAATAAACTTCAACGTAAGCTGACCGGTAGTGGCTACGAATCTTAGAACTTAAGGGCGCATGCACAATGTGTTTCCTTCAGGCGCAGACGTGCGTTTCTTGCAAATGGAATTTTTTTTTGGCGATTTTTGCAAACAATGTAATGAGGATTTCCTTGATAATAATTCTGCTCGTTACGTCTTCCGGCTCGTAGTAGTGTGGGCAGGCCCCCCACTTGGTGGACCGACGATCTGATGAAGGTCGTGGAAGGTGCCTGGATGCGGGCGACGCAGGACCGGCCTATGTGGAATTCCTTGGAGGAGGCCTTTGTCTTGCAGTGGACGTCATTCGGACGTCGAAGGAATGAATTGTGCTCGTTAGTTGGCGCCACTGGCGAGTAAGGTCCTATCATTTTCCTTATGGATACACAGTAGCGCCAACTTGTGAGCGCTGAAGCGATAGAAGGACTATCACATTTGCTATTACCAGGCTGGTGCCACTTACAAGTAAGCTCCTGTCAACTAAGTAAACAGTAAAATAATCTAATTTCGCAGCGCAGCAAACGCGTGAGACACGCGGCGCTTGAAAAAAACCCGATGTGCATGGGCCTTAAAACTTCCGGGAATCGCCTACTCTCAGTAATTAGGTTCGTTCGTTCGTTTCAGCCAAATGACGTCCACTGCTGGACAAAGGCCTCCCCCAAGGTTTAAGGAGAAAAACTTGGTCAAAGTCAATATTAAAGTTTATTGGTTCCATTCTGTGAAACTTTTCTTCGACTGATTTTGAAATAAAGTTTTTTGGTTATGGTAGACTATAGTACATTTACATATTTTGTTATTAAAAAAGGTTCATATTTATGGAATCGTTAATAAAAGTTCAAAAGGTAGAAGTATATTATTGATTTGTGCTAAATATTAAAGGAAACAGACAAACAGTAGACCTCTTTTTATTTAGCACCATTATTCGATGAATTCTATACTAATATTATTAAGTTGAGGAAATTTGTTAGTTTGTTTGTTTACTTGAACGCGCTAATCTCCGGAACTACTGGTCCGATTTGAAAAATTCTTTCAGTATTATATAGCCCATTTATTGAGGAAGGCTATAGGCTATACAACATCACGCTATAATCAATAGGAGCAGAGCAACAATGAAAAATGTTGCAAAAACGGGGTTTCACGCGTACGAAGTCGCGGGCACAGCTAGTATTTTGATAAAGTCAAATTGTTTAGTACGCATTTAAAGCCACACTTTTACAATACTGCATTATAACGAACTCATTACCCATCATGAACCAGCTTCGTGGTTAGTAATAATGAATGTTCGGGCCGACAAAATCGATGGCGCTACCCCATAACAATAATGGCAAAGCATAGTAATCCTTCCGTATCGATGGAACCTAGGTGAATAATTTGCCATGGCTCAGGCACATCTCATATTTTATTTGAACAGAAAGAAAAGTTGGTCAAACACCGCCGGGCCGTCAATATGTTCCGTCTTCGTTCGCGGGGCTAGTTTCAGGATCTTCTGTCTCACTCTAACGTGCCCTGAAACGGGGCAAAGAGTAAGGAGTCAGCAGATCGGGTTTTTATGCCTATCAGCTGCATGTAGTGTCTGTATGGAAATGTGAATGTAGTTTTTTTAATTTCTTAATTTAGCTGTGGAAATGTGGAAAATATTGAATAATTTGATGTTGGAAATATTTTAGCTAAAATGTTTTTATTTTGCATAGTTGTCGACTAAAGATATATTTTATTTCACTTTCTTTCGATACAGTTATTATTCATGAAGTACTTAATTTAATTTACTATTTTGTATGCTTATTTCAAGTCAAAATATTGCCTTAGTATCTTTTTTGAAATATCATATTGTAGTATTCGCATCTGTTTGTATTCCGTAATCTAGTCTTTGACCCCGTAGTATCGGAGCGTAGGGGTTTCCTACCCCCGAAGCCAGTTTACCGAGGCTCGCCACCGTGACGTGCCGCGCGCCGCGTCGCCGCCATCTTGGAAAATAAACACGAAAAAATGTAGTCGAAATTCAAACAGAGTCGATCACGCGACGGTAACTGAACGCACGCGATGATTCCAAATTTGAAAAGTGTGCTTTTTCTGTGAGTCGCCAGTTATTTTTCTGATTGGGTTCTTTTTAGTGTGCTGTGTGGAATTATACATTTGTTTTTGTGATTTCAAAAGTGTAATTAAAGGTGAGTTGCTGAGACGGTACTTTTTGATTACGGTTCGGGATCTGCGCTTTCATGATGTTTATTAATTTTTTAGCGGCGCCCCGTTTACGGTAAGGTTAAAAGGCTCTTTTGAGAGTGTTGTTTTGTGAATACGAAATGTAGGTACCTACGTGGGGAGAGTTTTAATCTGCAGGTTGTTTTTTCCTACGGTAAATAGATAATTAAGAAGCCTACCTGAGCTTTTCGAGGCTTTTATTCGAAGGTATTTCAACGATTTACAGCTAGTATGTTTGTGGCAACTTAATTAAAAATAAATGAGAAGGAACTACCTAGCTACTTCAATATTTTTTCCCTTTGTTTCGACCATACCAAAATTGTACTTGAAATGCATGACATAATAACTCATTCAACTGAACCTTTACTGTATTAGAGCACTAATTATGATATTTTAGCGTCAAAATCATATTCCAATACAAAGGAAGTTTGTATTTTATTTTAAATAACAACAACTCCTGTATTCACAAAGATATTTCTACCATAAACAATATTAAAAACATTCCCTTTTACCACTAATATACCAAATAAATAAGTAATACTACGAATAATTTTCTTAAGTATTTGCTACGGCAATGCTACGAAACTGCTACAGAACTAAGATATCGTAGTAAATTTACGATTTTACTTTTTCATTATTTAAAGTAAGGCAGCCATTAATTATTATAGAAATGACAACAGTCATTATTCATTTCAAGGCGTTTGCTAAAAGAATAAGCTTGAATTATGAATAAAAGAAACGATATTTTCTTTTAAGTTACATTTTGATCGTAGAGGTCAAAATTAATGATCTCAGTCAAAGTCAAAGTCTAAAATATGTTTATGAAATTGTGCTTACAATTTATTAAGACTATTTTGACTACTTACAAAATTATCGGTCATTTGGGGGGTAGTTTAACATTGAAAACTCGTAGCTGTACGTGTTTTTATTAACTTCAAATTGAAAATAGAAAGCGTTGTTTTAAAAAATACCACCTACATNTCCTATATAATTATATTTTTTAAATGCCATCGTTATCAAACCTCATTTATATTTTGCACTCTGGCAGTCTACAAAATTTAAATTTAGAACAGAAAAAGTTTTTATCCGGCACAATCTAAAAAGGATTTCGCGTGTTGATTTGATATTCGTCCTTTGAAATTCAAATTTAAAATTAGAACTTCGAGATTCTCTCAGCGTTGTCACAAAAATTGACATTGTCGTGCTTGTCTGTGCTTTGTATTGTGTTTTCAAAGATCTAAATTTTCTTTGTACCTATTCGTTATTTCAAAAGCCTGTGATATTATGAACATTTTTATCGTGTTGTGTTGTATTATTTTGCAAAAACACTTACGTGAAAGTAGCTTCTAAACTATATGTATAAATTGTGTTTATATCATAAACATTGGCGTTGTTACGTTATATTTTGGCAAAAAACACTGAAATAGGTACGACGTGAAAGTA